AGATGAGGGTTTAAAGACCTGTACACACTGCAAATTTCTTTCATTCAACTAAGCGAGTTGAACAAAAAAAAAACCTGACAGATCGCCATACCAACACAAACAATGTTGGTGCAGCGATCTCCCTCACTGTACAATTCTAGTCTAACACTCCCCCCAACCCCACACCCACTAGTATACACTGATCAGCGCTCAGCCCATTGGCTGCAAGTGCTGATCGGTTGATGGTTTTCCAGCATGTCCCTATGACAAAAGTTGATCGTTAGACCGGCTTCTGTCAGACAGTCTGCTGTACACACTGACCGAAAGTTGGCTGATTCCCGCTGAACCAATTTGTGGACAGTTTTTTCCTAGCTTATCTGTTGATGTTTGACAAAAATGATACATTATTTGCATATTTGTAAGTATTGTTCATACTGCTTAGGCTGTACATTTTGAAGAATGAGTACATTTGAAACAACTGATGGAGTGGATTATGAATGTACTGTTATATTTACATATCTAGGGGAATGGAAAGTTTCATTTTAAAGGAAAAATGCCTTGTACCGTATTTGGGGTAGTTAGACTAAAAAAAGTTAAGTGTGCACATTAGGTGATTTACAACTGACCAAGCTACTGTGTTCTTGGGCCTTTGCAATCAGGCTGGGTCTGGAAATCCTCATTCTTACCCATTCTGGAAACAGTGAGGCGGATTCTGTGACATACTGTATATTATTTACTGTGAGCCCATGCATCAGAGACCCCAGTTCCCATATCCTAGGTCCAGGCTAATGAGGGGGAAAATAATGGAGCCGATGTCTGACTGATAAGAGCTTACAATAAAACTAGCCAGACCTAAACATGGATTTATTGCTGCTCCAAGTATTGTCTTATTTTTACAGTTTTTTTTTCCCCCCAAGGAGCTATTAGCTTTGTTGCACATCTGTAGCTATAGGTATTTACAGGATGTAAAAAAAATTGCTTATTAGTTTCGGTAAATACAATTTGCATACACAAAAACGGAAGTGGGTGACTCATTCCTGGAATTAAAAAAATGTATAGAAAAGTTTAAAAACCTATAAAAAGTAAAAGCAAAACTAAAACTGACTGAAAACCATTATAGTATCTCCTTAAAAAAGAAAAAGGAACATCCCTTTTATAACCACTTAAGGACCACCAGCAATGTACTGCGTGATCAAATCCCACCAAAAGTAAGCTCTTCTTGTGTGAAAAAAGAGACAAATTTTGTTTGGGTGCAGCATTGCGTGACCGCGCAATTACCAGTTAAAATAGCAGAGTGCTAAATGGACAAAACTGCCTGATCATGAAGGGGGTAAAACCTTCTGGAGCTGAAGTGGAAAACCTAATATTTAGCCACTACCAAGCCATAGCAAAAGGATATGCTGAACATTACAGTCAGCTTGTCCTCAGTTAGTGTTTCAGTAGGAGTATGACTTGCAGGTATCTTAACAGTTTACAATATACTTTTCAAAAGCTTACAATAGTCACAATCTGTTTAGTGTACACCTCATTAAAGAATGAAATGGAACATTTTATCAAAAGTGTATACTTCCCTAAAACAGTCTACCTACTGGGTACTTCTAATTCATTTTAGGCTCACTGATGCCCTGATTTCTAAATCCCATCATCTTAAATCCACTTGATGTGCAATATCCCCAAATCTCTGCTTGTAAAAATATAAGTCCTCAGGCTCTATGCATAATCCACTGTGGTTCTTAAAATAGAAGATCATAAATTACAAAAGCATATGACAAGAGGCTGCAGTCTCACCCAGTGGAAAAGAACTGAATTATATTATGCTTAGGAGTATTTCTTGGTATTTACTTCTTTTACTCTTAAATATTTACCAGTCTAGCACCAGCATTTTACTGATTAAATGAGTTTATATAGCGCCAAATGGCTCCAATAGATGAAATGGCTCCTTTACACTATTTTTTTTAAGGCAGCCCATTGCAACCCCTTGCATGTGAATGTGGCTGCAAATGACAGTTTGAGAACCTCTCTTATGTAAGTAATCTAAATAAGTAATTTAGACTAAATAACTCTAAATGTAAGTCCTCTAAATCTAAAATATATATTATTGCTTAAAAAAAACAACAGTTGCATATATGCTACACAAAGCAATTTTGTAATTTATTGTAAATAATATTGTATTTTTTTTCAACCTGCAGCAAGCAAGATTTGCTAAAACTGACAAAATATTCAAAGTTCTCTCTTCTGTAACCATGACAACAGCACTCTCTGTACAGAACTTCCCAAAATTTTCAGCCCGTTTAAAGCACACACTGCTTTTCCTATAGCTGCACAGAGATTGTAGCTGAATTACACACATCCCCTGGAAAAAAAAAGGCATTCTCACTTTAGTGAGATATTTTCAAAGAATCCAGTAAGAATCTATGTACAGTAGCTGCAGTGCTGCAACTTTTTTTTTTTCTTTTTTTTTAAATTATTATGCTGAATCTGAAAAGGAGATTATATTAATGTCAGACTATAAAACTTAACTGTCAGTTTGAAGCCTAGCCACGATCTCTCCAGCACAGAAGTAGGTACCCTCTCCAATATAGCTTACCTAAACCTTTGCCCATATTAGGGCTGTACCAAAAGTAATGCATAAGGGGGGCATAACGATTTCATTATCTTACATAGATCATTCAAAGTACACATACTGATAGAGTAATGCTAGCCATTCACTAGTCGAAAAAATTGTTTGAACGCGTTTTTGAAAAACAAACACATGGACGTGACGGCAAGTGATCTAGTCATCATGTAATGTCTGATTATCTAACAGTAAATTGTTCACTGGGTATAAATTAATCTGTTTTTTGTTTGTTTTTGCCACATATGCGCAGTACAAACAGTTCGATTTTTAATGGAGAAGAAACACATTACCCTTTTCATCTATCGTCCATTCAGTAGAAGTTTTCCAAACTTTTCCTTTGATTTTTTGGGTCAAAACCATCACCACCGATTTTTGATTTGTGCCCATTAACTGGCCGAAAAAACAAACAAACTGTCCAAATGACAGATTTTTGTACAATATTTTCATCTAGTGTATGCCCACTATAAGTCTCTCTCTATATTAACTCTTTTTCATTACAGGTATATAAAAGATTCCACACAGAAGCAACATGCCATCACTGAATTTTTGACAAGACATTGCTCTTTTTCAATGGTGCCATCCCTGTAAACATTCTCTAGCCTTCTGATGATGGACAGCCTGCACCCCTCCTTTGTCAAAAACTCAATGATGGCACATTGCTTCTGCTTGTAATCCATTATTTACCTGCAATGAAAAAGATGGAGAGGTACTTTTGCATTACTTTTGGTATAATGCTTGTATATATAGTTCACCTTCACTTAATCATTTGATTCTCAGCAAAATTAGAGCTGTACTTTATGTTCTTTGACCTATGCCAAGCAGGGAATTACAGGATTAGCATCAAATGCACATAGGCTTAGCGTTTAAATCCTATAGATCACATGGGGTCTAAGACATGTGAACGTTTTTATTTCTCCTGGTGTAAAATGTTTTAAGTTCCATATATTCATTTCCCCCCAATTGACATCAATTTTTTTTTATTTTAGTCAGTTTTGTCCATATTTACAATGCTAATGTCACACCTTGAAGAAATTCATTTTTGTTCATATTAATACATGATATATTACTTTATCAGCTCAGCACATATTGTAAAGGAAAACAAAAACAGGAGGAAGTAAAGAAGGAAAACGTTTGTTTAAGCGGTGCCAACAAAAACAACACTGCGGGCAGATAAAAATGAGACAATACAGAACACAGCAGGGTTTATCCAAGCACAAGGGGCTGCGTAACCAAATATCGCAGCACGCTATTCTTTCAAGGGAAACTGGTTATAGAAATATTTTTTTTCCTTTTTACATCTTTTACAAATTCACCTATGACATCTATGTGCAGAATTCCCTTTCCTAGTTGTTGCCGTCGCCTTGCTAGATATAAATAGTTACGTTTGGAAGATAAACACATTTCTAACAGTGAATGTGGTTTTCATTCCAGAAATTACATTCATTCCAAAATCAAAATGTTAAAAGCAAACAACATTTTGAACACCTTTCAAACAATATTCGTGAAGTCATTGAATGTACGGAGACTTTTCTTATGAATGTTCATATGAATAGTCGTTTGAAAATAAACTAGTGCATGGCCAGCTTTAGTTAATGAACCTGGAAAGCATGCAGCTGGTGGAATATCAGGACAACGAATATGAAAACACTTTTCCCAGGTCAGCAACTCACTTACACTGGCCATACATATGATATTTTTTTCCTTCAAGCGCAGGTTGAAGGAAAGAAAATTGCTTGATTCCCCCATCAATCATGGTTGATGGGGGAATCCCTCATGCTGCACTATTGTATTCTGACAGCGGGAGGTTTCCCTGCTATCAGAATACAATAATCATTGTCGCCAGCTATAGCTGCCAGCAGCATTCGCACAAAAAGCCCAACAGGCTGGTTATATGATAGATCAACTTCAGTACAACCAGCTTGTACGTAGCTGGAACACAATTTGGTCAGTTCCTGCTGAAATGGATGAATTTCCATCTGTTTATGGCTGGCTGAAGTAATGAACCCAGATGAGGTAACAACCCCAGAGCTTGAATCTAAAAAAATATGTCAGCACTAGCAGCTCCCATATTTCTGCCCTGACAGGTTGCCTGTTGAGCAGCTAAAAGATTCACTCTGATGTTTATCTGGTTGGCATGGCTGACCTGTTGGCCAAATCCCGGTGGCTGGTAATAGGTCTGTATTCTGAATAAGCCCCAATATGTGCCTATGAAATAGAAGACAACTGAAGTCCTTAAAAACAGAGATTGCACAGCACAAAACTATATGACAAAAGGCTGCAGTCATAGGGTAAGAGAATGCAGTCATTACTATTAGAATTATTAGAAACAAAGTGAATCACCTACTACACCTGGCTGAATTATATTTTCAAACAATTAAGATTTGAGGGAATTTCTCAATCAAATCTGAAAATTACATCTTGAAAGGAATATATGGTATGAACATTCCTGTTCAAGGTGTCATTCTTTAATACAAGCCCATCTTAAAGACCAATACCAAACTATGCTTAATGTAATCACATGACAGCTGATCTCTGAAACATTCTCATGTGAACCCCAGCTGGCGTTTCCATGAGGCCCTGGATTCATACAAAAGTGGGTTGAATAAGGATAGGTGTCATTCAACCCAGGAGGGTCTGGATCAGACAGCATTGGACCTCAGAGTGGTGAATCTGTGATGGACAAAGAGAAGTGCTGAATGGAGAGCTGCTTTCCTATTTTAAAAAGGTCTGGACAGTAGAATGAAAAAAAAAAAAAAAAAAAGAAAAAGCTGGAATGGAACTTTTAAAGGAAAGTATAGTAATGGACCATGTATACCACTTAAAAGGAAGAGATAATTTACAGTTTTACACTGAAGAAAAGAGCTAAAATTCCAGATGGAAATTACACTGAAAAAGTTATTAAAAGCGTAAACTCATGCACTGCTGAAAAACAAGAATTCCTAGGGTCATTGAGTTGTTACGTATAATCTGAAACTGTGTAATTGCTTTCTCGATCTGAAGATTGTCACCAATTTAAATTAATAGGGGTTGTCTAATGTCACAATGCAAAATAGCAAAGTATGATAATGGCATTGCCCACATCATCCATAAATCAGCTTTCTCGATTTTAAGTCTAACACTAGCCAGTTTTACTTTTAGCTTTGGACTGAGCAGTGAAAAGTTATCCTTTATTACTGCCTACATGCTTTTTGGGGTAATCTCCCTTCACTTCCTGTTCTGGTATCGCTGGGAGATAAAGCAAGGGAAAATATCCCCAATGGGTACATAAGCAGCATTAACTACATTCTAACCATTCTTCACTTTACTCACTCTAAAAAAAAAAAAAAAATATTTATGTTGTTGTTTAGGTAACCTTTGTAGAGATTTGTGATCTCTGTACAAGGAGAATAGAAAGTCATTGAAATCTTCCCAATGGGTATACAGATGTTAGCTACCTGTTTGTGGCCATTCCTCCTCATCAACTAGCTTTTCATTGAGGCAGGAAAATATTTTGCATGATGCAGTATAGAGAATACACACACATCATTTTTCATTTTTTTTAGGCACTGGTTTGCAAATTAGTTGCACTCCCACTATAAAAAAAAAATAAGTTAAATGACTGAATACGTAAACCTGATCACTAAAAAGAAAATGTAAGCTTTAACAAATCATTTCTAAACTCTTTTGTAATATTTTTATTTGCAGCTGGTGATCCTACTATAAGGGTTTACAAACACGAACACTGGTAGGTCTTGTATATGCCTAGAGTAAATTTCTCAGAGCTTTCCTGCGCCCAGAGAGCTACAGATGCTTCCTTGCTTTGGCGTTTACCCATGTATGCACATCCGGTGTATTTCCCAAACATGGATGCTTTCTGTTCAGGAAAATACATCAAACACTCAGGCACAGGTAAATGCCAATGCAAAGAAGCATCAGCATCTATACCATCTTGTGCAGCCAATTACTTGTATGGCAAGCAGTACACGGCACCTCCCAGGTGTAAGAAAGTGGCAAAAAATGTATATTATATGCAAGAAATGCCTACAAATGTCCATGTGCATGAACCCTATACACTTGTTTAGAAAACCCACCGTAAGAAATGCCATGCAGCCATCACTGGAGTTCATGCATGTACAGTATACAGAAAATGTTTGACAGAGACTGAAATAGATTAGCATCAAGCTGCCGCAAGACATTTTATTTTTAAAAAATCTAACAGTAATTTAGCAAACTAGATGTTATTTAATTTCAATAGCTCCTCATATTAAAGGAATGACCTTCCTTTAGGTCAAGAGTGCTCTTTATTACTTAATCAGTTAGTACGTGCTGTATGTAAAAACAGGCACATTTGTCCAAAGGGGTCAGGTTCTTCTATTCTCCTTACAACTAGAAAATTACAACATACGATTGGCTGCTTAGAGACATGAAATTCATAACTGACCCCATCTCCTAATAAAAAAGCCATTCTAAGAAATATGACTCCACATGGTTGGTGGTAACTGACAATTAATTGCTGATATTTGTTAACCTCCTTGGCGGTTTTCCCGAGTGTAGCTCGGGGTAGAATTTCTATACCAAGAACGGTAACCCCGAGCTACACTCGGGCTTACTATGCAGCGTTCTCTGGGGGTCCCTGCAGCACTTACCTTGTCCTTCGCTCCCACGATGTGTCCCCTGCAGCGTCCCCGTCCATCTCCTCCGGCAGATGCCGGCATCTGACTTCCGTGTTCCGGTCCCTGTGACGTCGGAACGTTCGGGCGGCGGAACCGGCGGGAAATTTGAAATTTTTAAAAAATGACATTTTTGCTGTCATTGCTGTTTCAATGCATTTCACATACATATTGTCCCCACTGCTTTGTCCTGTGCCCTGCCTGCATTTTGACTGTTCTTTCTGCCTGGAAACTTAGAAAAGTCCATGGCGGCCAAAAAGCATCCCTTTACATCAAAAGCGGTTTTTAGAACAGCGATAGTAAATCAGAACCACTTGCAGAATTGAGTGATAATGATTTGTGGGGAAATTCGTCATCAGACACTGAAAACGATTTTGCGACTTTGCTCAGCGATGTGCGAATTTGCCTCTGTATTTCAAATTTCAGTGTTTTTGGTTTGATTATATTATTGAATTAAATTTATTATTATTATATTATTATTTTTTATGATTATTTATTAAATTATAATTTATGATTTCGTGTTTCAAGTTTTATCATATCCGGAATGTTTAATAGACTCTTTTTCGGATAGATTTCAGTGAGTTATTCCTAAAAATTACAGCCTACAATTAAAAACTACATATTTCCATGCAAAAAAATGGTACCGCTTTCAGCACAAAATTCCTGACATGATCATACCGCCAGGGAGGTTAAAGGCAAGTAAAGTAAACCATAATGTGAATACAGCCTGTCTTCCATTGCTTACAAGAAATGGAAATGCAGCTCCTTATCTGCAATTCTTTCACGAACACAGGCTCCCACATCCGGCCTGTAATTCAATTTAGAATGTATTGCTCTCTATAGGGTGCTGCAACATACCGACTTATTAAAAGAAGCCTGGCTGAGAAATACTGTAATAGGTAGAATAAATCACTATTAATTCATTTATAGTATCAGCAGTAGTGATCAAAGCTATCCAATGGAGGCTGCCACATGACCATTAAAGTTCCTGTTTTATTTCTATGGTGAATTGTACAATAAAACACAGTATGCCCTCAGCTTTTCTTCAGTGAGGCAATGCAAAAGAACAATGATAAAGTGTGCAGGAAGTACTGTGAATGTAACCCCCCCCCAGAATTTAAAATTTACTTCAGTATATCAGTGAAAAAAACAAAAACAAAACAGTACTGAGAGAGATGTAGGTGCCACTGTTGCCCTTCTGAAAATGCTATTTACTGAGCTGTCATGCTGATATAATGGCTACCATATTTTCTGAGTCGGGAATAAATTCCAAACTCCCGATATGGGTCTGTAACTTTGAAAGTATTGAAGCCAACCAACATGCCAGTCAGGCAGCTGAAGGAGAATTCAGTAATGTTGGCCCATTTGACTGAAGTCTTCTTAACAACAAATTGAACCTCTCCCCTTGAAGTTCTTGATGATCTGATGAATGGTTGATTTAGGTGCAATCTTAGTAGCAGCAATATCCTTGTCTGTGAATCCCTTTTTGTGCAAAGCAATGCATGTGTTTCCTTGCAGGTAAATCAATATTTCTGTCACTCTCAAAACTTTTGGCCAAGGCTGTACACTTAAAACACTGGTAAGAATGTCCCTGTGCATAAAGAGATTAAAGTGGTTGTAAACCTCTGAAATGAAAAAAGAACAAAGCATGCCATCTATAGTATATACTTTCCTCTATCCTATGGGTGCTCAACCTGTGGCCCTCCAGCTGTTGAGGAACTACAAGTCCCATGAGGCATTTGCAAGGCTAACAATTACAAGCATAGCTCCCAAAGGCAGAGGCATGATGGGACTACCACGACAGCTGGAGGGCCACAGGTTGAGCACCCATGCTCTATCCAAAGCATTTAGTGTGATTTCTGTTTCCTCTCCCAATCCTCTGCCATCTGCACGTCATTTCTTACAGTCTATGCAGACACCAGCTATCCCCAGGAGACAACCCCACCCCCTCTAGCACACAGCAGGTATTTGACAATCTCAGTTTGCATGGTTTCCTTATGAGATCGTGAAGAGTGGGGTGTTTCTTCCCCCCACTCAGGTTTCAGATTACACTCAGCTCTCTGTTCTATGCTGTATAGTGGGTGATGTTAAATTCTTACCCCCGCCTTCTGGAGCTCTGAAATGCTGTCTAAATTATGTACTTTGAACGACTGTAGTAAAGAAACAGCTGCAGATCAACAGGTACAATGTATGTAGGAGGATTTGTTTCATCTGTGTATCACCTGAGGCCAGTCACTGCAGTGGGTGTATTTAAGGGTTTACAATCACTTTAGGCTCTGGCCAGCAATTCTGTCCTGACATATAAATTGAATTAATGTATGGTTGCATGTAGTAAAACCAATGTACTTTTAACAGGATTCACGTATAAAGTATATGCTGCTGCTAACAAGGACATTCCAAAAAATAACCACTATTACATAGAATGTGATGTATTCATCATCCTCACTGCTGTATCTATAACTGACATGCAAGCAGGAAGCACCGGTACTTTTTATTATTGACAGTGCTGTCAATTGTATCTAGGTAAGTGATATGTTTTATTTAATGAGTTGACTTTTTTTTGCAAAATGATGTTATATTTAAGATCTTTTAGTATGAAACCCAATTTTACCATATGGCTAGTGTTCTTTAAAGGGTTATATAGGTATTGGAGGAAAATGCTTTAAAGTGAAAGGGGCAAACATTACTGAAATGCCTCTTATTAGTTATAAAGGTTATGTGACAGCTGGATGGCACTGTAACTTTCTTGAGAAACAAAAAAAAGACTCATGCATAAAATGGGATG